TGCTGTGCACTATGACGGAAGAAACACTGAGCGCTAGAAAATGACAAACTGTCCCACCTGACCTTCTGTCTCCATGACTTCCTGCAGCTCTTGGTTCAGGAATTTGAACCACCGTTCCAGTTCCAGTTCCTGCTCCTTCGCCTGGAAAAGGAAGCAAGAGGACAAAGAAGCTTAGAAGGAAAATCCTGCAACAGGGCCCTGAGCAGAAACTTTGTGTGGGGCAAATTAAAAAAGGAGGGAGGGAGAAAGGCCCTCCCCTTCTGCTCCGTTTTACTCCCTCGTCTTCATATACTCACAGTGGGGTCAGCTGGTCCTGGAAGCAGATATCCCCATCGGCCTGGAGGGTCTTCTGGAGAAGGTGAGAAAGCTCCAAAAGCACCTCCACAAGCATCCTAGCTGGCTTCAGCCAAATATTTGGACTTTGTACAGCAATTCATTCAGGTCCACCAGCAGGGAGACGTCTTCCTCTGAGCGTCCCACTTTGCTGCCTTCTGTGGCATCTCCACCACAGGGCTCAGGGATCATCAACAACTTCTCCACCCAGTGTTTGGGCACAGGAGACGGTGCCAGTGAGGATGATGGCAGCTGTGATCTTCTCACTGTTCCCATACATCCCCGGGTTGGGTGGGGCAGCCACGGGCATCTCCACCAGGAGGAGACGGTGGTTGTCCTCATCTCCACCGTTGGCCTGTTCCTCTTCTGCCCTGGGCAATTCCTCCGATGCTGGCTCATCCCTGAAAACATTTGTGGGTGGGGTGGGGGTTTGGGGCAGATCATTATGGGATTGGTCCCCATCGGCCGCATCCCGTGGGCCACGATCCTCTGGTTCAGGAGACAGGACGGAGAATGCCGAATTGGAAAGCGACCCCACGGGACCCGCTTCACAGGAGACCACGAGAGGGTCATGCTTAGGAAGAGTTGGGTATTCCTTCAAACACTCCACCACCAAGCCTTGGGGCTGAGAGGGAGAGCCCCCCTTTCTGTCTGACTCTGGCCCCCTAAACTTTCATTTGATGGGCTGTCTGGGGCCACAGACATGTTGAGATGGTTCCCAACAGGTTCGGCCATCTCTGGCACAGGGCTGGGGGGCTCGGGGGCTGATGGCAGCTCTTCCAGCAGGTGGTTTGGCTCTGGAGGGGCCTCCAGGGAGGATGATGGCAGGAGTGATCCATCTGGGGACAGAGCTGGTGGGCTCCTAATTGAGTGGGCTCCTAATTGTGGGAGAAGCACCACGTCTGAAAACTTGGAGGAAAAAGAAACACCTTGTTACAAGAGGGGGGGAGGAGATGTGGCTTCATGAGAAAACGAGGTTCAAAGGACTTCAGTCCTTTCCTTCCTTTTTTCCCCACCTGGATTCACCTTTCTCTTTCTCCTTGGGAGGATAGTCCGGATTAAGATTTGGTCTGCTTATCCATCTCTTGAGTACGTGAGCAAGTATGTGAGCAATGAACATGGTGAGACACGGCATTTTCTGACAGAAAAACAGGGACGAATTGCAGGATCGACTCTTATGATTCCTTCATGCTGGCTGTCTCTCAACAGAGTGTCCTTGGTCTCCCTCCTCCCGAGTAACACTGTTGTCAGAACATGGCCGGGCCAAGGTTTGTGAGGTCACAGAAGGCTGCCAACCTGAGCTGGCCAAGTAAGTTGACCAAAGAAAAAGGGCTCTCCCTTGTATGTTACTGACCTCCCTGTTTATAGATGCATGAAAAATGGCTATCTCCTGTGGCAGAATGCCCCACCTCACGCCTGTCTATCATGGGGAGCAAAAGGGCAGGAGCCTATGATAGGACAGGAGGGGCGGGACCAAAAGAACAATTAGAGTTTGACAGTTGGAGGGACAGTTAGAAAAAGAGATTTGAGATAGGGAATTGAAGAGAGAGAGTTAGGAGATCCAAATGAGAAAATTAAGACAGAGATTGGAAAGTGGGAATCCTAGAGAAGGAGCCTATGATAGGACAGGAGGGGCAGGACCAAAAGAACAGTTAGAGTTTGACAGTTAGAAAAAGAGATTTGAGATAGGGAATTGAAGAGAGAGAGTTAGGAGATCCAAATGAGAAAATTAAGACAGAGATTGGAAAGTTGGAATCCTAGAGAGAATACAGTTAAAAAGTATAGAGAATAAATACTCAAAGAATATTGTTAAAGTGAATTCATACAAACCAACGGATAATCAAATGCTGTTTAATGAATGATCCTAAACATCTGTGATTTGGATAACAACTACAAGATCAATAAATCTGTTGTATTGGCAGCACATGTCTAAGATACATCTATTTGGCATAGTGTGGATAAGATCCACTGGTTGATTGGTGGCAGCGTGAACAGAGGGAACGCATCCAGAGGGTGGACTTGTGTTTAGGGAAAATAAACAAAGGACACTGGATGGACGTGACATCTCCCTTCTCCGGATCTCTGATACAGCCGAGGACAAGCTGTGGTTAAGCACAAGCACTAAATAGGTTCATTTGTATAGATAGATTTATCTATACAGTGGTTCTTAACCTTTGTTACTCAGATGTTTTTGGACTGCAACTCCCAGAAGCCTTCACCATCAGCTCTGCTGGCTGAGGTTTCTGGGAGCTGCAGTTCAAAAACATCCAAGTAACAAAGGTTAAGAACCACTGTTTTAAAAGATGGTTATCCCACCTTTCTCCATAAAAAAGGAGCCAAGGCAGCTGAACATCCTTAAAAGATAATATTGAGCTCTTAAAAAAAAAAAAACATGCACTGGTTCATGAATGTGGGGAATTGAGCGTCTGTGTTCATGATTCAAAAAGCCAGGGAAGAGCCCAAAATGGCGGCACAATAGGGTGCCCGCGTTGCCAGCAGGAAAAAAGATGCCAAGCTTTACCTAGCAGAGGGCAGCCTGAATTTTGACAGCACCCATGGCAGCTGTCTAGAATGATGGCCAGCACAGAGCCCCTTCCAGCTCAACAGTTCTAAGATGATGATGGCTAAGTTGCTTCATTCTTTTC